TGGCAGCCTCTTGTCCCAGCTGTAAGGACTTGGACCCTCCCTGCTCACGTGCCCCCCCCCCCCATGCCAGGCAAACTGTCGCCTCTGTGCTACAAAGCCCTGATTTGGGGCCCAGCCCCCTGAGGTGCTGCCGGGACCACCCGGCGCCGTGGTATTCCTTGAGGGGCCTGCCGCTAGGTTTGGGATGGGCCTGGGGGCACCTCCTGAGTCTTGACCCCATTGGGCCCAAAGAGCACGAGTCTATTGGCCTTGAGGGCCTGGTGTGAGGCCCAGCTGGTTGGCCAGGGCTCAGTTTTTTTTTTTTAAATGGAGATATCCCATCTCCTAGAACTGGAACGGACCTTGAAAGGTCATCAAGTCCAGTCCCCTGCCTTCACTAGCAGGACCAAGTACTGGTTTTGCCCCAGATCCCCAAGTGGCCCCCTCAAGGATTGAACTCACAACCCTGGGTTTAGCAGGCCACTGCTCAAACCATTGAGCTATCCCTCCAGGGCTGCTCTAGCAGTTCGTTCCTATGAGCCACATGTCATGGCCAAGGAGCCCATGGCGCTGCCGGCTGGGGCGGGTGCCTGAGAGGCGCTGAACACACTTGGTTGGTGTTTATGTTACGCACGTGTCCAGTGGCGCCAGCCGAGCTCAGGGCCCCGTTGCACGAGGAGCTGCAGGAACACGAGCGCCAGACAGCTCAGCGTCACCGTGGCCAAGCCCGCCAGTGCAGAACTGGGCTAAGCCCCTGTCAGGGCTTGGGGAGGGGGGCCATGGGGCTGGCTACTGCTCAGTGACTGTCAGCCATGCTTGGGACGGGGGGGGCGCGTTTACATTGATTTTCACCTAGAAGTGAAGTAGAACTGAATCGCCCTCACACCTGGGCCCGCCCGCACCTTTTTCATCGACTGATTCCACGTGCGGCTGTTTCCTGCTCCCCGCTGCTCTTTGTGAAGCTCCTGCAGCCACATGCTGACTGGCAGCTGCCTTTTCCCACCCGCCCGTGGGTTTTGGGTGCCAGAGCCCGAGGGGCCCGTTCGCTGCCAGGCAGTGCTGCTCAGCGCTCTGACCCAGGGCCCAGTCACCCCCGGGCGCTGTGCCACGAAGTTCCTAACGGCCCAGTGGGTGGACGCTGGTTTCCCTGGATTGGAGGCACTACAGAGGAACATCTTGCCCAGCCTCTGTTACTGAGCTCTTGAATGGCCCAATGCAGGCCTTGTAAGCCACCGCGATGCCCTGGTGATCGGCAAAAACTAGCCGTATATGCTTGTAGCAACACTAGGAGCAGCGAGCGAGCGGGCTGCGGGCCCAGGGAGGGAAACCAGCTCACGCAGAGGGCCGGTGCCACTTGCGGCCTGTTCCTGGCTGTTTTGGAGGCTGTACTCGTCTGTGGGATTCCGGTGTGCCCTACACAGAGCGGAAAATGTCCCCCCCTAGGCGTAGGGTCCGTGTGGGATGAGGAGGGGGCTAGCACCGGCCCTGCCCAAGGTGTTCATCTAAAGAGGCGTCTTTGGCGTAGTCGCTCGGGGCTGTTACACTTACAAGAGTATTCGACGGCTCGTCACGTTTGTAACATGTCTGTCTATGGCATCCAGGGCTTAATTCGTTTTTTTCTTTCAAGAACATAAAATGAAACTTCAGAATGAGGCTCCCAGCCAGCAAATTGTCCCAGCCCTGAAAGCAAACCTGGGGGAGGTATGAAGTGCTGCTGAAGTGAGCAAAGCCAGCGGCACAAAGGGAACACGGAGTTCCCTCACCTACAGGTGGGTCAACACAGCCCGTCAGAAAGCTGGCGCCCTGGTCTGGCCATTAGCGTAGGGGGTGGGCATCGGGACTCCTCGATTCCCAGGCCAGAAGGGACCGGTACAATCACCTCCTCAGAGCTGCATCATCCAGGCCAGAGGCTTCCACCCTGCGATTCCTGCATCCAGCCCCTCATTTCTGATGGAGCGAGAGCACAGCTCTTAGAAAGAGACATCCAGTCTTGCTGGCTAGTGCTGGCGGCTCCGCCACATTCCTAGGGGAGCTATGGCAAAGGTTCATTAGCCCCATTGTTAAAATTCTGTGCCTTATACCTGCCCACTTTGGACTCACCTGCCTTCCCTGGCCTCCAACCGGCCTTCGTTCTGCCTCTGGCTGGTGTGTTAAGATTCAAGCAGCTGAGTTTTCTGGGGCACTTGTTCATCTTGTGGATGAAATTCACCCAGGCCCAGATGTCCCACCCACAACCCCCGCACCGACGGCCTCAGAACAGGGCTGAAGGAGGACTTACCGGGTGCCATTCGCCAGGCATATGCACCACTCCTGGCTGGTGGATTAGTAGAGGGAACCAGCTTATTGTGCGTGTCCATCCGGGAACCCAACTCCCGGGTTCTGCTCAGCCCGGCCGGGAGCAGAAACGTGCCACGTGCCAGAGTTATTGACTGTCAAATGCTCACGATAACCCGCTCTCCAGCCACCGGATGTCCCCAGTACTAGCCACATGAGCCAGGCAGGAGAAGCCCTTTTGTCCAAGGTTAAGTGGCTAGAAGGGTTTTGTCCCCTCCTGGTTCCTTCCGGTCCACTCACAGCTCCCTCCTTTTGCAGCCGGCAGCTTCCCTCTCGCCCTTCCTATCACTCCCTTTGAAACACCGTTCAGGGATGATCTACCACACAGAAAAGCATTCTACAGCGCTCAAGTGGCCTCCCCCATCCATGGGCATGGGCCGGGTGATCCCCTATGCTGGGGCTTAAACACCACAATGGTAGGCATTCCGGCAACCGCCAGATCGGACTGCGTGTTCCAAGCACGCTGCTGGCAAACAGTCACTGATGATGCGAATACTCTTCCAAGTCTTTATTTGCAAACAGGAATTGCTCTTGGGGTAACACGGACGCCCTCTTACAAAAACCCGCCGGATTTTCCCCCCAAGCGTCCCACCAGCTCTGCGAATCAGGAACACTTCAGCCCTACCATCCGCGGAGGAGATCTCAGATCGCATTAGAGATTCTTTACCGGTCCCATTTAGCAAAGCGTCAGAGGAGCGAGGCTGGCCGTGGAGAATCGCCAAGGCCTGGAGCAGATGGATTCTCAATCTGTAATGAATAAAAAGAAGCATTAGGGGCTTCTGCTAAAGGAAAACACCAGCAGTTCGTCCCTCACCCTCATTTACCGCAAGGCCTGAAATGAAGAGGGTGGGAAATTGGCCCCTGGCGTAACTGCCATCACGGAGCTGAGCCCAGAACCCCACTGCAGCTGCACGAGGTGGCTGACATGGGCATGTAATTGTCCACGTGTGACATTCGCTACCCGGCTTGCGGAACAACACCCAGGTGCGAAAATTTGTCCTGCTCACTCCAGGAAAACCCTGGCAGGCTTCCAAGCTGCAGATCAGTCAGTGAACAAACCCCACCGAAATCGTACATTACTAGCGACGCCCATCCCAGCGCGAGTGACATCAGCACGACCCACGTGTCCTCTCTCCAAGGGGGGTCTGATTCAGATGAGAGGATCGTGCAATAACACGGGATCGCTGCCGGCCCTTTGTCTCCCTGGCCATGGTGAACACATTGGACAGAATGAACCGGGCCCAGATCTTCAAAGATCCTTGAGGCGCATCACTCCTATTGATTTCAACGGGCGCTGGCCCCAGGACCAGCACCTGGAGAGCGTATCGCAAAAGCCAGAGCCCAGCTGCCAGGTAACAAGGCTAGTGAGCTCCCACCACTGGGCAGCGCAGTTAGGATCCACACACATTGCTCACTTCCCCCCCTCCCAAACCAAGCAGGCACATTTACATTGGCAGATCCGGTGCCCTGAGGAAATGCAGCTCCCTTCACCGAGGGTCCCTTGCTCCCCGCACACCTCGGGGACGGAAGCCCAATAAAACAACAAAGGCCCTGGTGGGGCATTGAAGGAATCCAGTCCCTGCACTCAGCACCCGCAGCTCCCGTTGGCTTTCACTGGCACTGCAGGTGCTCAGCGCTCCGGCCAAATCAACTCCACATCTGGCTGCCGGTGGTGGTTCCCAGCTCTCCGAGCTGCTCTGCCTGCTTCCGACTAGTGAGAAAGTTCTCGGGCTAGGGGACCAGGGTGCAGGAGGAACGCAAAGCCCCGCCCCGCCCAGTGTGCTCACCTCTTCCTTCCTCGGAGGAGCTCGCTGCCTCTTCTGAGGACGTTGCTGTTGGTGACAAGAAAGAGTGAAAACGGCGTGAGCTGGCATCACGTCATTCTTTACTCCCACCTTGAGTCCAGCATCCTCCGATTGTGACAGCTTATTAACAAGCTGGGATCCTGGTCTCGCTACATGATCAATACAGGAGCAACCAGAGCTTTTACCGTAGGACTTGCTATCCTGGCTCTGAGCAGTGACCCATCTAGTCTTGTCTCCAGCAGTAGCCAGCTCAAGAAGAAAGCATGAAACATTGAGCGTGAACAGTTAAACACGATGTACGTTTCTCCCTCTCACTTCAGCAGTGCATAGGCCTGGTGTTGGCCTGCTGCGCAGAGATCCATTTCACCACACCTTTTTCCCCCGTCCTATGCATGGCCAAAGTACAAACCTACAAGCTGGGGGCATATGACCCCGAAGACCCACAGGGCCAACCAGCTCCAGATTCTATACAAATCCTTACCTGGCCCAGTGAGTTCGGCATGGAAATCTCTTGACACCAAGTGTGCAGAGGACACAGTGCGAGGGGGTGAAAATAACATATAGGTGGAGACAGAAAGCGACCCACGCCCGGATTCTCTGGAGTGCTTCTAGTTTTTGTTGCTGGCTGTTGTTAAATTGGCCAAAGGGACATTCACTTTCAGCCCCCAACCCCTAGGAAAATAATGCCCACGCTGGCAGATGACAGGTGCACTCCCCAGTCCCTGCGTCCTGGCTCTGGGAACTCACTTTGGTTTGGCAGCCTGTCTCCAGCACAGCCGATCTTTGGTCTCTTCTGATTGTACTTAGCACAGAGCTGGGGGCTCCCCGCCTGCCGGCAGCACCAGTCGTGCAACTTTAACTCTGCATCTGGAGAGGGAAAGTGCAGCGCAGTGTCACGAAGGGAAAAGTTACAAACATCTGCCAGGGAACTGGGCAGAACCGGCCTAATCCGATGCCCCTTGGAGTCAGTGAAACAAACACCCCATTTCGGTCAGTGGCTCTTGGCTTGGGTCCCACGAGTCGCTCCTCCCTTAGCAGACAAACTGACAAAAACTGATGTGCAGAGAAGTTAAAATGCTTCATAAGCTTTGTTTATGGGCGACGGCGAATGCCGAATCAGTGTTTTCTCACCTAACTCTTCCATTAGAGCCAAGAGGGGATTTTACTTAACCCAGGAACTCCGACCCAAGCCCTTTCTGAAGGAAAAAATGTCAAACGCTGGGAACTCGTATTTAGTGACATTATTCTAAGTAGCGGGAGCTGACATTAGTAACAAGTCGATCCCGCTGCAAAACCTGGTCTGCCCTGTCTTGTGTCTCCAGCGCTCGGTGTGCACCAGTTAGTAACAGGTTCGGACTTGCGCTGGGCAGGCACCCACTGGCCTCACAGCTACCCAGACAGTCAAAGAAAAAAATCTTAAATTTCCCTGGAAAAATCACCGAAAAGCTAAGGCGGGCCCAGCCCACGTGGTTCCCATTGCACGGCGTGGGGGGGGGCAAGCTGCCAAAACTCCTCGGCCGTGCTTACCGCGGTCAGGGGACGCTTGGCGTGAGTCCTTCCAGGATCTCTCCTGCCGCCCGTCGACGAGCTCGCTCTGGCTGTTGTAGAGACAGCGGATCCCGGCGCCGTATTGGTTCGGGGAGGCTGGATACAGCATCGTCACACGGGCGTCCGCCAAACCTGCAACAACCCGCCGTTCGCGCGGCAGCTTTCAGACGCTGGGTGCGGACGTGCCCCGGAGCCGTGCAGCGCAAGAGGCCTCCCTGGCCGTGTAGCCCCTGGGTTTCCAGCCCAAACCAAAGCCCAGTGAAGCCATGGAACGGTTCCCCTGGATTTCAGCAGGCTCTGGCTCCGGGTCTTAGAGAGCCCAGTTCGCACAAAGCTCCTCTGAGCCCCTGAACGCACGCACTCGTGTGTCGGGATTGATTCTCCAGCCCACCAAGCAATGGTGACATCCAGCAATACCCGGTCAGCTCATTAGGTATTGTGGCTGCTGCAGGCCGTGGTGAACCAGCAACAAACGTAAGTTGGGGACACCCCGGAATCATTCAACTACAACCGAGTGTAAAAAAATAGAGGGCCCGAGTGACGTTGGAGCTGGGTGAATTTCCTGCTGCTGTTTCTTGCAAGCCTCTCTAGGCAATGCCTCGCTCGCAAAGAGGAAACGCGAGCAACTAGTATCAATTCACTTGCAAAGGCTAAATCCCAGAAAAAGCGGCCTGGACTTGTGCTGGGCCCACAGGCTGGGCATGGCCTGGCTTTGGCCCGTCTCAGATCACAGCGGGAGACAGGGTTTATGGCCCCTGCAGTGGCCCCACTGTGTAGAGAGAGTCAATTACCAACGCTTGCCTGCCCCCAGGGGGGTTTTGAGGATGAACAAGATGAGCCATTGGCTAAGCACCATTATTGAGAAGACGGCCCCAAACCACAGGGGACAGAGTTCGGGGCCCGAATGGGCTTGGGGCCCATGGTGAGTTGTATTTCCGCTGGCAGGACTGGGATTCTCTCTCCTCACGGGTGCTGAGCTGGGATCCTCGCATGGGGCAGGATGGGCCCACGTGACTGATTCCCTGTCACTGCAGGCAAAGAGGTACTGGGGGGGGATTGCGCCCCTTCTCAGCTGCTGGGTCTCCATGGAGACGACCCTCCTAGGTCAGCAGGTCCGGCCCTCTCTGTGGGGCAGGCACTTTCTCCATACTAACCCCTCACAGCCTCGTAGCGAGGAGGCATTAGTCCATCTCACTCACAGTGAAGGGAGGTGCCGTGTTAGAGCTAACCTCGCGCAGAGCCAGGAAAGGGACCACAGGGTGAGGACTAGATCTAACAGGCCCATCTGGCCCCGGCCCTGCCAGCATACCCCACCTCCTCTGCTCCGTCGGTAGTGCCGATCCAACGCTCCGTCTCGCAGCGAGCAAGGGCAGGACGGCAGATCCTTGTTCCAACCAGCTGGATCTTGCTGCGTGCGAAGCCAGGCCAGACACCTCAGTCTGTAGTTCACACGCACCTGACTGGCTAGACTGTATATCCACAGCCCACGCAGATCTAGGGCCAAAACAATCAACAGGTTTTGCCTTCCACTGAGTCAACGGCAAGATTGTACTAGCTCAGGCAGAGGGAGACTGGACTAAGCTGAGTTCTCGGACAGCTTGGACCATACAGGAGACTAACTGGTGATATTTTCGGACATGGAAAGCTAACCCGGGCCTCGTTCCACAGCCTCCGACTGTTGCCATTGGAACGCTCCCGAAACTCACGCGCCGAGTGTGAAAGCTGCATCGCGGTAGCTCTGGGGATGGTCTCTCAGCTAGGCACTGTCCCTGTGAGTAGGCGAAGGACTCAGCTCCGGCTTGTAAAGCAATAGGCCGTGAGCACAGCCAGTCCTGACAGGCATGTCTGACTGGACCAGTGCCGCGCAAGGGGCATTCCTGGGGCGTTAGCTGCACGTCAAGGTGGCCATTCAGCGGGTCAGTGTTGGCCCCACTGACAGCCCTGGGAGATTTTCCCCTGGTTTCAATGGGGCCAGGAGCTCACTCACAGCGTCTGGGGGAACCTGGGAACCTCTCACCTCGGCACAGTCTTGGCCCATCTCAGCCGCAGAATGAAACCGTTTGGCTGCGGGGCCCGTACCTGTGTTGTAGCCTCTGAACTGGTCGGGGCGATATTTGGCGGCTGGGGGCCTTCGGGTCAGATCGTCATTTCGGTAAAATCCATCCCCGCTGAACGACAAAGCAAACCCATCATCACCCTTCCTGATAGGAGCAGGTTTCTACTCTACACCAGCCCCAGCAAGTTCTCTATGAACAACTCCCGACCTGCCAATCTCATTGCCCACCTCAGACACAGGGGGAGGGGGGCCCACAGCAGATCAACGGATAAGCATCTCCAGCTCACAGAGCACAAGGCTGAGCCTATGGGCGTCTCGCCAGGAAGCAGCTGTGGTGCTGAGAGCTCTGAAGCGGCAATGCCTTTGCTGGCAGGGTAATGCTCCTTTTAAGGATTCATGGAGTGTGCAGAGAACTGCCGCCATTTTGGTTTCAACCCTCCTGTAGCCTGTTACTGAGGAGACACACACACTCTGCTTTCTCCCAGGGGAACTTTAGTTTGGGTCGTATTGTACTTGTTTGGCTTCATCTAGACTAAAAGACTGAAAGCCGGTGCTGCTCTCTGTGTATGGAAAGAGAGAGCCGGGAGTGACTCTCATTCATTAGATTACAAGCAAAGCAATGGAGAGCTCCCTTAATCCTGATCGGTCCAAAGTTCACAAGACACCCAATGCTCATTTGTATTTGTAAATCCTCAGCCTTTCAAGGGGTCGCCTGCATTTTAACGACACGACACCCTCGGGAGACACAGGGGCACCGTCAGGGGCACATTATGGTAGTTCTGAGGTTGCAATGTGACCCAGCTGCAAAGGGGTAAATACAGAATTGGGAGTCGTATGAATTGATCCATAGAGGAGTGAGCATACAGCACCTGGAGTAGCCCATCAGCACGTTGGTCAAACCCAGCTTGGGGTAATCCCATTGCATGCCGCCATCTTGGTAAAGGATGAGGACGTAGGACTTGATTCCATCCGTGGTGAGCACAGCCTGGTACGTGTTTGTCTAGAGAAACACAAGGTGCGCGGGGAAGGGACAGGATGAGGCTGTGTTCCATAAAGTGTAAGCGAGGGGGTACAAATCACTATTCAGCGAGAGACAACAAACAGCGCTAATGCTAATGAGGAGTTCTCCGCTGTGACAGTGGGGCGTAGGGGTGAATCTCTGCAACTCCCGGAGAGCTTGGCAGTAATAAAACCAGACACAGGAAGCAATGACAGGCGTAATTCTCGAAATAAATGTCACAGGCCACCAAAGAATGTGCAAGCAAACTTGGCCACCAAACACTGTCAACCTTTCTTATTTTTCGTGGAAAGCGTTGTGACATTTTCGTCGAAGGTTTTATCAAAACGATTGTCAAACACTTTAATTTACTGAAAATCGCGCTCTTGGTCAAGCAAAGCTTCCCATAACCACTTCGAAAAGGTTTCCAATAAAAATGTGTATAAATGCCAAATTAAAAATATATTTTGAAAAATAATTCAAGATCACCAAAAAATGGGCCTATTTCAAAGGGTTTGAAACAAACAACTTAAAAATTGGTTTCAACGTGTGATAGTTTTTGATCAGCTCTGTATGCAATTGATCATGTAACAAACAGAAAGATTATATTATTTAGGATGTCTCCATGAAAAGTTAGTGTAGGGGGCTTTACCTAGAGACCCACGTAAGCCCTCTTTTGCATAGGTCTCATGCATGGGGTGAATTTATCTTCGCTAAATGTTCAAGTGAAACACTCAAAAGTTAACTTGTTTCTCCCACACAGTAGTAGTGCACAGTAGTAATGGTAGCATGGGTTCTGAATTCATGCCCACTCCAAGTTCACGAATTCAGGCTATCATAGGTTATCTGGTCCCCATCACTAGCATCTGAGCACTTCATCGTGTTTAATGTAGGTATTGTCCCATTTTACAGATGGGAAACTGAGGCACAGAGAGACAGGGACTTGCCCAAGGTCACATGGGACCTGTGTAGTGGAGCAGTAAACTGAACCCAAGTTTCCCGAGTCCCAGACTAGCACCCTAATCACTGAATCGTCCTTCCTCCCGTAGAAGTTCCCCAGAACGTTTGGAAATCGATCCAGACCAATCCAGAAGCAACAGCTCTCTGGACAAAAGCTGCCGGGGGCGTCTAAATATGACCCGCGTATCACAGGACACAGACACAATGCGGCAGCCTAAGCCTGACCAACGCTGGGGGGTGCGGGTCATTGGGGCAGGAAGCCACTTTGACAATAGCTTCCTGAAGCCCATGTGGCCACTTACCCGAGTGACAGGTTGCCATGCTGGATAGGCTGGGGCCTTCTCCCAGGTGATCTTAAGGGTCCATTTTGCAGAGTACGAAGTCTTCAGGTATCGCCGAATCTTGGCCTCCACGTCTCGGACAAACGGGTGTTCGGCAGAATCCCGAGTAACAAACTCCTGCGGGTTGTGCATGGGTATGTTACGGCTCCAGGGCAGGGAAGGGCAGAGCTAGCATTACGCATGTGAAGGTCTCAAAGGAGACCACAACCCCTCGGCTCACTCATGCATATTCCTCCCGTTGACTAAGGACTTACGTGATGCTTAGGCCTTACGCAGACCCTCTGCAAAGGGGCGAATTTCATCCCGAGTGAGGCTGGACTCGGACGTTAGGGGACCAGCAGGAACTGCTGAATCCGGCAACCCTATAAAGCCCCACTGCTCGGTCGTCTCCACATCGGCAGGATAGCTAATGACTTGCTAAATCATAAGCCGCATAATGCGAACAAGTGCAGCATACCTGTGCCTGACGTTTAGCACGTCTAGCTGGGCCTCCCCACGTGTAAAAACTGACCTGGTAAAACGTGGTGCCAACGCCTTTGGAGAAATCCGCGTTAGCCCAAAACACAGCAACCATTGGTACTTTCTCACGGCCGGTAAATCCTCCGGGAGGTGGGTTTGGAGATGGGAACATGTCACTGTCTGAGGCTGGAAAAACGATTTGTCCGTTGTCTGTAAACTAAACGACAGTATTCCTTACGTTAGCTCCTTCGCAGGAGAGACGAACTAATGCATAACGAAGCACAGGCTCTGTCTACACACCCACAGCTGGCCCGTGCAAGTTGACCCGGGCTCGCGGGGCTGGGGCTGCGGGACTGTTTCATTGCTGCGTAGACGTCTGGAGCCCGGGCTCTAGGACCCTGCAAGGTGGGAGGTTCCCAGAGCTCAGGCGCCAGCCCAAGACATCTACACAGCAATGGAACAGCCCCACGAGCCCGTCGGCTGGCACAGGACAGGGGCAGGTTTTTCTTTGCTGTGTAGACAGATAGTCACAGGCTTGCTGCAGAGTCCACTGAAGTCAATAGAAAGACGCCCGTTGACATTAGGGGATTTGCGGCTCAGACCTATCTGTAGTGTGTCTTTGATCATTATTACTGATTTTTGTATTGCTGTAGTGCCCAGGCGATCCAGCCACCGGCCAGGCCTGCACTGAGCCAGGCGCCGCGCAGGCACCGAGCGAAAAGGCAGCCCCTGCTGTAGTTCATTTTTTACTGTTTCATTGCAGAACATTTTTTTTTAAATTAGAAAGTGACTGTGATCTTAATAAACCCTCTAAATCCAGTGAAAACACCTCTGGCTCAGACACTGGAGATAAAATCCAAGGAACATTTTTTCCAGCCACCAATAAAAATGATTTTTATGTCTACAGAAATTAACCCACAGTTGTTGAAAATGAGGGGGGAAAACTCCCCACATTTATACCCGACCAGCTAAAATCTTAATCCGCTCTGCATGTTCCAACAGATCTTTGTTTGTTTCTAAAGGACTGGCCAAGTGCACATCTCATTTAGACTCACGTAGAGAGAATCGCGCAGCGTTTTCCCAAATGGGAACCCAATCTCGGGTTTGAAGACACGGGAGTTAAAATCCACTCTTCTCTCCACGTATTGCTTATCGCTTTCCTTTGCTCCATATGGATACAGTGGCACGGCTGCAACTAAAACACAATGATTACAAGCAGCTTCCTTTAGTTCACTAGCTAAAGATTTTCAAATATCAAAGGGACCGAGCGGACGGCAGGGGACAAAAGACCCGCTTTGGGCAGGGGAAGCGGAGTGGAATTAAGTCAGGTTCCTTGAACCATAGGATCCGGGTTGGAGGGGACCCCGATGCCGCAGAGCAGCAGGTAATCGTACAGGGGGGTAAATCGTCAGGGGGACAGCGGAGGTCATGTTCAGTTGCAGAAATCTGTCTATTGCTCAGAAATTCATGGGAGGTGGCTTACCTGTTGCTGACTGTCCTGTCCCACTTGTAGTGGCCTCTCTGGTCCCAGCTGACACCGACGCTGTTCTCTCCTGGTCAAACCCTGCTCTAGTATCGGACGGAGGGGCTGTTGACACAACCAGAGCAATATCTCAGGAGTTGGGAGGGGAAATCACACACCACTCAGAACCCTCCATGTTTACAAATGGTACAAATTAGATGTTCAACTACCTGATGTGCGGCCAGATGGTCAAGTGCCTAACTGGTCTCAGCTGCACTCTGTTATTTGGGCCAGCACCAAAAAGGGAAAGGCTGGCTGTGAAATATTCAGAGATAAGTCTTTGCCCAAACCCGCGTTGACAGGGAGAGGCCTAGGGGGGCCTCTGCCATTGCTTCCTCGGGGTTAGGCACGATAAAGTACAGCTCAAAGACGTGAGTAAATATTAGGAGGCTCCTATCGCAAGTGCTGAATTCATCCCTTTCATTTAGAAACCGGGGCTTTCACAAAGACACTAAGTGACCCTTCATAACAGAGCTCCACAAAACCAACATGGCTTCCACCCTGACACCACCCTGACACCATGGCCCCTGTCCCCAGGAAAACAGGTCTCCCAGCGTGCCCCAGACCTCAGCCCGGGAGACCCAAGACGTGCTACTGCACATGGACAACCAGCTTGGAAAAGCGGATGGAACTGAGCTGAAAAACACCAGCCTGAAATGAACCCATCTGGGGACACTAGTTATCAGCGTGGGACATACCTGTTGTTCCCAAGAGGGGGAACGGTGTTGCTGCCCGTCCTCTGGAGGGTGCTGGAGTGGTGGCAGCTGGCACATGGGACGCACCAGCCAAACCCAGATTAGCCCCCCGTTCTGGGGGCGTTTTCCCCTTCTCCGAATGGAGGGAAGGGGCGTGGGATCCCGTGGCAGCGGAAGTACAAGAGGTGGCCAGCCGTACTGTCGTTAGTGGTCGCCCGGTCACTGCCTCCAGTCCTGGGAATGCCGCGGGGACTCCTGAGTCACCGGCAGAGAGGGCTGCTTCTTTCGTAACCCCAGCGGGCCCAAGTACTGTCGGCCTCTCGGGAGAGGAGGGGGAGGGCACCGGGGCACTAGAAAACAAAGGTCCTGGCCGTGCAGTCTGTGAAGCTGAGGGCCCAGCAGCAGTTTCACCGGGAGAGGCAAAGGCAGCTGGGGTTGTTTCCCCCGACGGCGCGTGTATTCCTGTGGCTCTCCCATCCCCTAAGGACGAATATGGGGAGGTCTCAGCATTGGCCCAGGTGCCTCTTTCGCCTGGGGGCAGCTCTGCCCCGTGTGCTGGACTCACCTCTGCATGCTGGGCACCGGGGTTAGAGGCGGTGGTTTCCTCGTGGGCTGCGGATGCGGAACCAGCCGCGTCCCCTCTTCCTTCTGTAGCTACAGGTGGGATGGGAACTCTCTCGCCAGCTGAAGACGGAGGAGCAGAACCCACGGCGCTGGGGCCTCCCGGTGAGTCTGAGATGGCGGGGAGAGAGGCTGGGTCCCCAGGCACTACAAAGACGGACGTGGACGTTCCCTCGTTGGCTGCAGACGTCTCCCTCGCAAGGGGCTGGACGGGGAGTCCCGAGAGCACCGGACAATCCGTTTGTTGCATCGTCCCTTGTTTCAGGCTCAGCCGGGGCTCCGCTGAGAGATGCAAAGGCAGGTGGGGATGTTATTCGCGATGGAGCAAGTCTGCCTGGCACGGTCCCGTCTCCTAAGGGCGCACGAGGGGATGCGTCGGCGCTGGCCAAGGCAGGCACCTCTGCTGCCTCCCCGGGATTCCACTCCGGGACGGAGGGCGAGGGATTTGTTGCACTCTGGAGATTGGGGTTGGAAATGGGGGTTTCTCCATGCGCCGCAGACACCGGACTAGCCGTATCCCCTCCGTTTTCTGTGGGTGCGGGGGCCAGCGCTGTGTCCCGAGCCGAGGATGGCTGAGGAGAATCCACAGCCAATGCTCCAGGTTCTCCTGTTGGCAGCTCGTCCGTGGGAGCTGGACTCGGCTCTGCGCGCTGGGGCGAGGGATCTGTTTCACTCCGGGTGCCCGCGTGAGATGCTGTGGCTGCCTCGTTCGCTGAGCGGTTGGCTGCTGGCTCTGCCCTGGAGGGTGCAGCTACCCCGCTGGCAAAGCCACCAGAAACATTTGCTCCTGCAGGACCTTTGGCTGTTGCAGCAGGTGCCGCAGACTCTAGGACTGATGGAGCGCGGGGCGTTCCCTTCACACTAGCGTGGGCAGAGTTTGCCAATTCCTCTCCCGCCCCAGGAGCGACAGGTGCTGTCCCTCCTGCAGCATTTGGAGGGGGCTGGGGAGAACCGGGAGCACCAGAGAATCCAGCCGAGGACGATCCCGTACTTTCACTCTCTGAAACGGACGGCTCGGCAGGGATGTCACCGGGAGACGGGACGGCAGACGGGGCCGTTTCTCCCGACAGCGTAGGTCTGGCTGTGCCCGTCCCAGGCTCTAGAAAGGAACGAGGGGAAGTTTCGGCATTGGACAAAGCCCCCAGATCTCCTGTCGGTAGCTCCTCTGTGTTAGCCGGACTCTGCTCTGTGTCGGAGGGCGAGGGATTTGTTCGGCTCTGGGTATCAAGCACCGATATTGGGGTTTCCTCATTTGTGGCTGACACGGACTTACCCGTATCCCCTCTTCCTTCCGGAGCTGCATGGGCAGTAACTGTCTTGCTCTCTGAAGCCAGATGATGGGAACCAGTAATGCTGGGAAATGCACTTGGGGAGAGCCCCTCTCCCTCAGTCTCTGCGGGTCCTAGTGACCCAACCTCTTCCCTCCCCAGCTACAAAGGCAGGTGGGGATGTTTCCCCTGCCAGTGCCGATGTTCCTCGTCCTATCTCGCTCTCTGGAGGTGGTTCTGGGGATTCTGGAGCACTCGATCCATCCTGCCCTGGGCTTTCAGTCTCTGAGACGGGGGCCTCAGCGGGAGAGGCAGCCGGAGACAGGAACGCCGCAGGACTTGACTCCATCTCTCCCACCGATGGAGAAAGAGGTGGTCCATTGGACACAGCAGTGCCAGTGGATGCCAAGTCCTCTGGCCCCCATCCAGTGCCGGGGGTGGCTGTCCAGTCCTCAGTAGCTGCGGAGAGAGGAGAGGAGGTGGCGACACCGGAGAACGCGCCAGGAACGGAGCTCGTGACCTCCAGCTCGGAAGGGGAGAAGAGGGTCGGGTGAGGGTTTGTTGGGCTGGAGTAGAACAAGGCCAACGCGGCGACCGCTTCTCCTGCCGGAGTCGTGGCCACTGTCCTGGTTTCCGGAGAGGCGTGCGAAGAGTTGGTGGCGCTGACTGACATTTCTGCTTCTTCTGTAGGGATCTCGGCTGCTTCACCACCGCTGGCTCCTGGCTCGGGGGAGGAAGACGCTGTTTCCGGGACAGAATTGACATTGGCCCCATTCACGGCTGACACCAAACTAGCTGTTGCTCCCTCTGCCGGAAAAGAGGCGCTGGCTTCGCGGGCGTGGCCGCTTGAAATGGCGCGTTCTCCAGGCAACGTGGTGTTGGCGGCCATGGCGGACGGGGACGGAGGAGATCGGGCTGTCTCTGTGGCTGCCAGGACTCCGGCACGGAGCAAACTGCTCGCCGCCGCTGTGGGAGACGCAGCTCCAGGGGTGAACTCATCCTCTGGAGAGGCTGGGACAGCAGAGGTGGGCCCAGGGTCTGCACAGGCTGGAGGACATGAAGCAAAGGCGTAAGTAATTCTAATAAGCAACTTGGTTATAAATCCAGCCTGGTTTGCAAACTACTCAATGCTTTTCTGTGCAGGACAACGCTAGCCCGCAGGGTCCTTTTGGGGCGCCCCGGAAAGGACTCAGACACTGAACCGGCATCAGTGCTAATTACATGAGACTTCAGTTTGCCAGGGCAAGTAAGGAATCCACATAAGCTGGTTTCTCCTTCAGGGGCTGCAGGTCACACGTTTGCCGTTGGTTTCCTGTGTTTTCGGGCTTCTGCGCACCCCCAGGGTAATCCACCCGCAGGATTACTAAGAACGGGCCTGGTCTGGCACATTCCTCTATGGGCCACTGCATCTTGGCAACACCATTCTGACACCTCGGGGCGGGGGCCCGTTGGTTTTGAGCAGCGGAGCGAGGGTGGCAGTCTCCCCAAATTGCCTGAACTCCTGGGTTCAGTTCCTTGCTCTGCTGCTGAGAGTGGCCATTCCCTTGGAAAAGCAGGCCCTCAACCACTAGCTGCGTGCCTCAGTTTCCCTCTGTCCGAGTGGGATAGTGACAGCTAGCTCAGAGGGGTGACGTGAGGACCGATTAGTTAATGTCTTTACAATGCAGGAAAGTGCTGTATAAAGCCTTCAAAATATGACCCTTATCACCCAGGTGACCTTGCTTACCCTGAGCCAAATTTGGGGGCAAACTTCACTGCAAGGATGGGGCCCAGACTGGAACGGCTGTTTTCCCAAAACACTCAGGAGGCCAAAGTTCCTGTTTTGTCCACCTTACACTGGGGGTAGCAGAACTGTGGGACTCCTTGAGTCTTGTCCTGATCCAAGGTGCATCTTAGCACTGAACGGTCCCAGAGAACCATGTACCAGCTGGGCCTAGCCAGAGAGCAGCTTGCTATGGTCACTCAACATCACCTTCTCCTGCACGGGGGGCTGTGGAGAGGGAGAGGGAGGAGTTGGCTACGCTGGCTCTACACCTGCCAGAGACTCCCCACCCAGCAGAGGACTTGTGGCCGGTTTCACATTCCCTTTACCCCACCTGAGTGATGTAAAGGGAGCAAAAGGGGCTGAGAATCCAACCCAGGGTATCTTTGGCCTGTCCAGGAGTCTGAATTTGTGCTTTGATCTCCCAGGTATTTGAAGAGGGGGATGATTTCAGGGGGGCGCGGAGAAGGCTGGGCGCTGCCATCAGCTCGATGGTTTAGGGAAGTTGACTTGCAAGGGGTGAGAAAGCCGGTCACTCCTGCAGAGGTTAGTATAGGACTGGGGCATTTCCCAGCAGCTGGGTTGAGATATTGTTTGGCTAGTCTATTGGCTGGTCATGGTGCAACCGGACTCCTCACTTATGCACCTCTGGGAAGGAGCATGCAGGGGTGCGGACGGAGAGAGGTGCTGAATACATCTTCGCTCATTTGGATAACGGATGCCAAGCTGCTGGCACGTCAGCCAGAGCGCTGCAGTGTGTAGCCCCAGTGCCCACGTCTCCCCCACCTAGATCATTAACGTCCAGGCCCCCAGCACCTTGGCACCCTCTAAGCCTTTCTACGGGTACAGTGCAGAGGGGCAGAAGGTGACACGGGGTAGGGCAAAAGCTGGCGCTGCAGCAGGCCAATGGTAGATTGGGCTGGGGGTTAGGAGGGGACCTGGGGCGGGGAGGTGGAATGTGTGGGTGGGCAGGGAGAGCCGGGGGGGTGGGGCAGGGGATCTCCTTCCCAGGATCATTGGCAGCTGTGAGCAGCTGTCTGAGGGTGCCAAGATGGGACACACCACAGAGGGCCCCCTTCAGGGAATGCTTTCGATGCTATGTCCCCTATAGGCAAAGCTCTAGGGGACCTACAGTGGGATATGGGTGCCTCTCTAGGCAGCCAGTGCCATCGCTGCGCCCACCACAGGGGGCCTGAAATCCAGGCTCCTGGGGAGAAAGGCAGGACGGCATCTGGCAAACAGCTGTTCCAAGCCAGTTTGCTAGATCCTGATCCTACTGAGTAGCGCCTTGCCCCCCCCCCCACCCCAGACCCAGGCATGCCCCCCGGTTCACAGGGTAACCGACAGGTAAACTGCAGCACACGGCTTATTTCTTTGGGTGGCGGGGAGATTTTATGTGCACGTGCAGGAATGTTTAGCGACAGGAGGCATTTTTAAAACCCCCTTTTTTGCTGATTTTATCGGCAGCCTCCGGATTCGTCAGGAGGAGGC